AGAAAATTTTTTTTTCTAGTGTGGCAGTCAATGTGTTAAAGGAGTTTTGTTTCAATCAAGAAAGTAAAAACAGAATCATCTTTAAGATAATTTATTAATAAGGACACCTAAACTTTCCCTGAGAAACAAATATTTTATAAAGCAGTTGATATATTGAAAATTTTGCTTCTGAAAGAAGGTACTTTTTTTAAAGAAAACTAATTATGAACAAATAAATCAGGATTAACCCAGGAAGAGTCTGGATTTTAAAGAAAAGATGTCTCTCTCCCTCAAATGATATATTATAATGGTAGGTCTATACTCAAGTGTGGAATATACAAAAAGAAAAAAATTGGTTCATAAGTATCATCATGGAGTTTGTCCCCAGGGACAGAGGTAGGATGGGTTTGAATCCTAATACTATAATATGATTCTATGAAAAGTTTATGACAAAATGAAAATGAGACTATAAATTAAATATTCTCCCTTAAATGCTACTTAAAGATATCAGGATTATGATATTGTCCAATTACCTATACATAAGTTTGTTTCTGCAAAGAAATACTACTTACTTTTATAAAGAAAATATCACCTATTCTGCTACTGTTCTTGTGTGAGTTATGGGAAAACATGATGTAACAAGAGAAAGTCCTTGTTCACTTAGATACCTTTCTTCATACCCATACTGTGACCTATAGATTTTTATCAAAATATTTCATAGCACTTTATTGTACTTATTAGTTTACATTTCAGTTGTCTTAAACAAGAATGCAAGTACTTTGAGGGATTTATTTGTATTTATACTCCTAGCACCTATTTAGTACTTTGTATATAGTAGGTATTGAGATTTTTATTAAATGAATGCAAGAAGGAATGGATAACCCTAACCAGTAGGCAAATAAGCTAATTTTATTTATTAGAGGGGGCATAAGAGTCTTAGCAGGAGGGATATTTATATCAGCTTTCAGAGTTATGTCATCAGAGAAATATATTTGCTAATAATAAAACAGGCAGTAAAGTAATGGTTAGGAGTTCGGTTCTGGAGAATGACTACCTAAGATTAAATCCTGGGTCATCATTTATTAGCTGAGTAATCTTGAATAAATAACTTAACATCTCTAAGCTTGATTTTCTCTTATGCAAGATGAAGATGACAAAAGTATCTATCCTGGAGTTGTGAGAATTAAACAAAAGTAATGTGCTTAGTATATATAGGGCCCAGTGTATGCTAAGACTAAATGTTAGCTGCATTATTATTGTTATATTATTATTTCTTCCTATTATTAAGGTTTTCTCAAAGGTGGAATAATATAGTTCCTGTTAGAAACTTAACTTCAAAGTATGGTATAGCTAAGAATTCACTCTGCTACTGGTAAAAACTAAGCTAAGATTCAGGGCAGGGGGATAAGTACAAAAAATAGTGCTCTACAAAGCGGATCGGTCTCTTGATTTTGCCAGTTTAAAAGATGATTAGAATCACAAGTTGAAAATGAAACAAAAGCCCATTTGAGATATGCCCCAATAAAGATAAGAACCTCAGATAACCAATGTGAGGGATGTTTCTACCCTAAATATTTACTTCCAATATAAACAAGACTAAAAATGTTCCTACCCCCCGCCAAAAAATCAAGAACTGGCAATTGAAAACCACCTTAGGGTTGTGGGGATAGGCCTCATTTACTCAGTTATAGATTATAGATACTCGAGGTTCAAAAGTTGAACTATACTTATAGATGGACAGTTTTCTTCCCTCTTGGAAAAATTCAATGCAGACTATAAATGGAGGAATATATGGCAGGGAAAACTCCATGCAAATCAGAACATTAGAAAAAGAATACTGAATTACTATTACTGAGAAGCATCTCAACAGCACAGCCATGTCACCAATACAATGTTCCAAATTAAACAAAGAAGATGAAAACTTAGTTATTTCCCAAAGTAAATCAAATTGGTTTGGAAGGAATTAAAGAATCAATATAGAACATTAACTCTGCATGTGACTAAATTAATTCCTCATAGGAACTGTTTAGTTCTAATGTCTAGTGACAAATTAATTGATAAAAATAAAATTTTATTAGATTCCCTGTATTTATAGGATTAGATATCACTTTAGAAAAAATCCAGAGTTACTTAGAAATTTTTATGAGGAGGCTTACCTGATGGCAATGATAGAACAGAATGGAAAGAGGAATCTAACTCTGATACACGTTCTCTTAATAGCTGAGACTCTGAATTGTGTTCAAAGTTACCCCAAGTTGAAGCTGATTGTAGGCAAGGCATTTGTGTAGTATTTAAAAATGTTTCTTTTGAAGGCAAAGTCTGCAAGGAAAAAAAAATAATTCAAAGACTTCATATTTGCTTGAAAACAGAATGAGAGACAGTGTAACAGTTAAAATACAGAATGTGAATGACACCAGAAGAAAATCCTGGCTTAATAAGTCGCCTTGGATGAAACACTTCAAAATGACATAGAATAAGTGAGACAAGCCATTGAAGAACTGGCCATGAATCTAGTGAGATTTGACTATAGCCTTTTTGGTTTTTCAAAATGAAGAACAATGTCTATGAAAATGGTTCTTTCTCTCATCTTAGGAAATCATAGTAAAGAGAAAAGAATCCATGAATGTGGCATAGCTCTACATTTATTTAAGTCTTTAATTTTATTCAATAAAATTTGATAACTTTCTTCTATAAAAGTAGTACACATATTTTGTCAGATGCATTCCTAATTAACTTTAATACTTATTATTTCAACTGTAAAAGGGATTTAAAAATA